CTATTAGAGCGGTTTTACATATCCGGTGTTCTGAACAGAAGGGCAGATGTGACGTCCAGGGGCGGCCCACGTCACGTGGACTGGACCCTCCATCCAGATCTGATGTTTTCAGACGCAGCAGAAGTTGGCAAAGCAGCTGTGGACCTGTTTGCGATGCAAGAAGAACGCTCAGTGTCAACTATGGTTTTCCCTGAGCCCGCGAGACGATCCATCGCTGGGGGGGGACGCATTTGCTCACAGCCCGTGGCCCAAAACTCTTTTATACGCGTTTCTTTTCCCCCACCTCCTCTGTTTTTTACGGTTCCTGAACCGAGTTCAGGAGGAGGGATTGACAGCTCTCCTGGTGGCTCCCGGCGTGTGAACACACCATGGTTCCCAGGCCTGCAACGTCTGTTGTCGGGTCGCCGTGGAACTGCCGTGGAGGGAGGATGCTCTCCTTCAGGCAGGAGGAGCGACCAAGAGTTACCCAGAAATAGGTCAACACCTGTGGGTCTGACCGCTGAGCGGTCCCACTTAGAGGATGGGTCTCCCTCAGGAGATAGTGTGCACAATTCAAGATTCACGTGCTGCATCTACCACAGTTCTGTACACATCAAAGGGGACGGCTTTTCAGCGCTGGTGTACAGAGAAGGTTTAGAGGCCACCTCATGCTTTTAAGCGGCGTGTTGTTTTTTCTACAACAGCTGATGGATAGGGAGTTGGCTTTCAGTACGCTTTAACGTACGTTGCAGTCATCTATTCCTGCCACAAAGGTTTCGGAGACAGAACAGCTTTTAATCACCCGCTGATGAAGCGTTTTTCTAAAAGATGTTCAGAGACACAGGCCTGCTTCACGTCCACTTGTTCCACAGTGGGATTTAACGCTGGTCCTGCGAGCCCTGATCAAAGCTCCGATTGAGCCTCTGGATCAGGTTTTCACTTAAATTCTTGTCTCTTTAAACAGCCCTGCTGCTGGTTTTAACACCCGCTAAGAGGGTAAGTAATTATTTGCCCTCTCTGTTGCTTCGTCATGCCTTAGAAATTAGGCTGACGGGCAGCTCAGCTGATTTAAGACCAACCCAGCTTTTATGCCTAAAACATCACGAGCTCTTTTAAATCAAGAGTGATATCGTTGGAGGGGTCTTTCCCCCCCCCACAGATCAGAAGAGGAAGCATCTTTTCATCTTCTCTGTCCGGTGCGGGCGTTGACGTGTTACATAACGCGCACAGCTGCAATGCGTTTCAACTCAACAATTGTTTGTGCATTATAGAGATGCTTCTGCAGGTCGCCGTTATCTATCCAGCGCTTGTCACACTGGCTGTGTGAGGCCTTTTCTGAAGCCTACAGAGCATCAGATTTAGGGCCTCCTGTCAACCTCTAAGCACACTCGACCAGGGGTATCGCATCTTCGACTGCTCTGTATAATGGTATGTCAATGCAGGACATTTGCACTGCGGCTGCATGGTCAACACCCTGCTCATTTATTCGCTTTACCTACGTGATGTAACGGCTCGTTCCATGACACATTCTGTCCTTAGTGCTCTAACAGAATGAATATTGTTGTTCTCATGGAACTCTGTTTAAGCTCACTTCTGTCTGCATGCATTACAGTGTGAGATGTTGTTATCAGTCACAAGTCGTGTCTGTGATTTTGGTTCTATTGTCACTAATCAGTTCATGATTATTGTTACCAATCAGTTCATTTGATTAATAATCAATTTATGGACATTAATCTGTTTATACTGTTCAGCCATGAACCAGTTGGTTC